TTGGGACATTTATCACGAAATTTTCCTGCATCGTGTCCCATAATACCTGCGGAAATAGGTGGTTGACGTGTAACAACAGGCGTTGGCGTTCACATGCGAGCGGACTAGCATGCTCGCAGAGCCAAAGCTATACAACACTTCAATAGAGCCAACAGTTCAAGTGTTCCAGTACTACTGTCAGAAAAGATGATGTGCCACAGCAGCCAGCAGTGGGCCCTGCGACATTGTACGCGCCATCAACTGCCTGAACTTGTGGCTGCCCGGTTGGTTGGCGGAAACAACCAGAGCTGAGCTTACAGATTTGCGTACAAGCAAAACATGGGGCATCCGTGTTTTGTATTTTGTTCAGCTTCCAGGCGGCACAGGGTAAGATTGCAGCTGCTTACTTGCCCCTCTTCTTGCCTCCTCGCGCGCCTCTTCGCGTGGGTGAGGGCTTCTCCGTGATCAGCAGCGAACCCTCTTTCAGTTCCTGTTCGTGCACCACGCAACCACTTGTGAGTTGCAGCACTTGGCCACGACATGGCACGGCACGGCACGGCACACGACATCAACAGCACACAGGCAGAATGAGACGTGTACCTCTCCAGAGTCCTCGATCTTGTTCTTGGCGTCGATGAAGAACATGAGATCCCGCACCTGCTCCTCGAGTTCCTTGATGCGCGTCTCCGTCGCCGCGCTCTGGGTGCGGAGCGCCTCGGCAGCCTTCTGCGCCTGCTCCTTCCACTCGGCCTGGTGGTGCGTCAAGGTCTCATTGTACTGTTGCAAGCACACACGACACGCACGCGTTTGATTGTGTGAGTCGCGGCAGGCCTCGCAAAATGGATCGCCAGTGGGTGAGTACCTGCTTGAGCTCCTTCACGTCTCGCTGGTACTGGCTGATCTTCTTCTCGAGCTGAGTGATCTTCTTTTTCGACTTGTGCTGCGTCTGGTTGAGCTCGTTGATCGAGGCGAGTAGGCCCTGCTTCTCCTCCTTCTCCTTCTTCAGCTCGTGCTCCAGATGCTGCACCTTCTCACCCTTCTGACTCTCCACCACCTGCACACATGTTGCGGTAAGCGTTTGTGGTTTGCAAACATGCTTAGACTTGCCGACTTCTTCTTTACCTGGAGTTGGTGCTCCCAGAATTGGCGCTGAGACTCGAGCTGTGACGTCAGCAAGTAGGTGTACTCCATCGCCACCGCCGTGCGCTTGCTCTGTGGTGCAACGACCGAGCGCACAAACACGCCAGCCACAACATCACATGCAAAGATGAAATAAGAATAAGAAGAATAATAAAATCAACAAATAAATAAGCAATGGATGAACAGGACTTGTAATACTAATCTGCTATTGCTTCGGAGTGGAGCGCAGAAGACGAACCTCGAGAATGCCCTCCTTGATCTCCTCGTCGATTTGTGTTTCTGGGCCGGGTAGTTCCACCAGCTTGCCGTCGGCTTTGCTTTGGATCAGTCGATGCACGTAGCTGGCGTTCGCCGACAGATAGGGAAGAATTAGCTGATGACGAGAGCACTGGCCATGAACATGGGTCCGACAGGGGACAGGAAAAAGGAGGAAAAGGGTACTTGTCGCCGGCATAGTCCCACACGCGCTGCGATTCGAGTTCGAGCGCGTAGGTGTGTTGCGTCTCGAGCCAGTGGTTGTTGGCGTGGCCGCCCTTGTATCGACCACAGCCGATGTGGCCGCAGATGAGACAAATCCACAGCGACTCGGACTGTCCGCACACGCTACACTCTGACGCGTGCACCGAGTCCTGTGTTGTTTTTACCGTGCAAGCGCGAGTCACAGTCAACTACATGTAGCTTGTTACACTACAGTACTACATGTCGTACTGCAACGTACCTGGCAAAATCGACACACCGGGCAGCTCGAATCGCGCCACTTGGAGAGGCACAGACAGTGGAAGGTGTGGTTGCACACAGTCGTGAGGATGCCCGTCACGCTCGTGTCCAATCGGTCTGTTCAGAACGTGGATCGTGGGTGAGTCGAGGCGCGGCTTGGATGGAATTCGAAGCAGGCGGCTTTATTTGATCAGAGGAGGTGGTACCGAGGCAGACGGGGCAAGTGGGCAGCTCGTTGGTGCCACACGGAGGCAAGATCGGCTCCATGGACGACCCATCCACAAACTCGACCGACTTCACGAACCCCACGCGGCACTCCTCTGACTATAGTGTAGCACGCGCACGACGAATGCAGTCAAGCGACCGCCCAGTGTGTGCGTGTCGTGTCGTGTGTGTGTGTGTGTCGTTTGTGTGTGTGTGTCGTTTGTGCGTGTGTGTGTGTGTGTGTGTGTCGTTTGTGTCGTGTGTGTGTGCCGTGTTACCTCCATGGAATTGTACATCTTGCCGTTGTACTCGAGGTAGAACTGGTCCGCCATGACCTGCTGCCGGAACTCCAATAGAACGGCGTACCGACCTGGCACTTTCTCCCTGTGTGTGCAGAGACAGAAAACACGCAAATGAGACGGCGGCGAGAGACGAAAGCAACACACACGCAGGAGTCTCGTGTGACACGACATGCACTCACGCGCGCACAGCGCCGCACACGCGCATGGAGAGGGAGCAAGGTGTGTCGTACGTGTAGGTCACCACGCGCATGCGAGCGATGAGCTTCTGGTAGGGCGCCACGAACTGACAGAAGTCGGCCACCGCCATCCACGAGGGCACGGCCAGAACCGCCACTATCAACGTCCATTTTGGCTGTCACCACGCCAACATACGGAACAAGAAGAGTGTGAGCACATAGCCCAATAAATCACAGAACTCAAATTAATTGATTTCAATGAATAAGAATAAACCGGCAGGGTGGGGTACGGGCAGTTGGCCACGCTTGGCCGCGGTGGTGGTGGTAGGATCCTTGTAGAGATGCACGACGCCCTTGATGACCTCGATGAAGGGATTGCCCACGGAAACGCGCACAACGTCTTCATCACCAGCGGGCTTCCCCTCCTCCTCTTCACTCAGTTTCTCCTTCTCTGATCTGCTTTTTCGCAGTATGTCCCGGTACGAGGGCTTGCTTGCATCGTCGCCAGCGCTTCCTCCATCTGCCGCATCGCCAGGCGAATCTGTCCTGTACTCCATGATGCGCTGGCGTTTCTCGTCGTAGGCGATGTTGTTGGGAAGGCTGCTCTGATGTCCGAACACGCCCACTTTCAGTCTATACATCCACCAGATCTCTTTCGCTTGTTTCTTTGTGAATTAATTCAGACAGATGAACTGCAACTGCTCCTTCTACGCGCTACCCCCCCCCTTTCTCTTTTCCCTTCATTTCTTTCCGCGAAGCCAGGCCAGGAATGTGATGACTACATTCTTTTGTGTTGCAGTGCAGCCTTGGTGCTAGTCATAGCGCACGATGTTCTTTACCATCATTTGTCGCGACCAGTGGGTGACGTCGGGGTCCTCGAGCGGCAGGAAGTCGGATCGCACGATCTTGGCGCGTTGGATGAGATAGCTCCACCCTTCGTCACCTCCGTCGTCGGCCTCAGCTGTCGTCGCAGCCGGTGGTGCTCGAGCAGCACCGCCCTTGGCTCCGCCGCGGGCTCGTCCGGCCTTGCCTCCGCGCGCCGCCTTGCCCTTGCCCCCCTTGCCCTTCTTTGACTCGCCTTCATTGGCGCCCACCCACGCCAGCTCGTTGCCCACATTGTCGTCCTGGCGATCGATCGCCTATCAGCACCTATCACACGCGACACGCGACACGCGACACGCAAGAGGGGCTGTTGTGTACCTCGTCGATGCGCACGTAGACGCCCTCGACCACGCCGTCGTGGAAGGCCGATTGGCTGTTGAGCAGCTCCTCGTAATCGGCGCGTGACAGCTTGCCGTTCTTGAGCAGCGGCACCGTGTGGATGCCGGTGCCCTCCAGCAGCTGGTCCCTCGAGCGTCGGCTCAGGAACCGTCCTGCGGTGCAATACATTTAATACATTTAATAAATAAATAAATAGGAATAAAAATCGAATAACCCAAGCGCACCCTTCTTCTTGTCGTAGATGTCGAAGGCGAGGAAGAGGTCGGGCAGGTTGGTGTAGTGGATCGAGTGCCGTGCGTACAACCTGCCACGCACCACTTCGGCTTAGCCCAAAACACACGAACATGTGCGTGTGCGTGTGCGGTGGTGGCCACGAACCACTCGCCGAAGAGGATGCGGTCGGGGGTCAGCACTTGGTGCAGGCCCGGGTGCTTCTCGGCCCAGCTCTCCAGTTGCCGCCACTGTGGCACAAACACGCGCGCGAGGCCTCGGTCAGTCACCCAAAGACGTGTGCGTCGCTTGAATTGACTGATACAATCACGCCACGCATGACGACGAGAGTATGGCACCTGCGCCTGGGTCTCCGTGTTGACGTAGTGCGAGCGGTTCTGGAAGAGCAGCTTGTGGTCCGGCGTGATGCTGATGCCCAGATTGCTTCCGTCCACCTGGTCGTTATAAATGTTTATAAACGTTTGCGCCAGCCGTGGAGCAGAAACAGAGAGACAGCCAAGAGTTGCGGTGCAGCGCGAGCGGGTTGCGCACCTTCTCCTCCACGCTCACGGTGGACTCGTACCACACGCGGGCCTCGTCCTTGGCCATCACCAGGTCTGGCCACCCACCGACGGCACCGTCAGTTTGGTTGGACATCACAATATTTCACAGATAGAGCTGGCGTAATTTCACGTTTGCAACTTGTGGATGATTATTGTTTTTTTTAAAAATCTAATAATAAATAATAAATTAATAATCAAAAAAATGTACCGTCACGGCCAACGCCACCACCGGCGTCGAATATGTGGCGGGTTCGTGGGAACTTGACCAACTGGTGACTGTCGTCCTCCTTTTGCATGGCTGTTGTGTGGTTGTTGCTTGCTTTGTGCGTCTCCGACGAGTGCAAATAAACGTGTGCGAGGTTGAGAAAAGAACGAAAATGGGTCTTCACTGAGACCAGAATCAAAAATCATGATAAAAAAAAACTACGGGTGCAAGCTAAGAAATGGACGAAAGAAACGATAAACAGAAAAAAAAGGGGGATGAGACGTACGACGCAGGGAACAGTCCAGCGGGGCACCACCACCCGCCAGTGCGTGCGCCTGGCTTTGCGACCAGCAGGAAGCTTCGTCCCCGCAATGGCGCTCCGCCTGCCGACTCAGCGCCTCTACGCCACCGGTACCCCCCAATTTTTTTCCTCACAAGGCTCGTGTTGAGCCTTACCGGATGGCTTCATGGCGCTATCGGGGGGGGGGGTGAGACAGAAGGCACGAACAAGGACGTGCTGGAGTGGACGTGTGCCGAGGTGGTTCGCCACCTGAAAGAGCGCACCGACCCGCCGGTCAACCAGTCCCTCCTCGACGGCTTCGACGTGCAGGAGATCAATGGTGCCACGACAGCCACCGCACGACGCGCACACGCACACGCACCTGCACTACCGCACGCACACGCGCATTTGATTGCTTTGAGGTTTGTGCTAACGTTGCGGCGTTCGTGTGCGCGAACATGCTTCATTCAGGCTTCGCGCTGGCGTCGGTGCGTCCGCCCACCCTGTTCCGTATGATCAAGGAGCAGGTGGAGCAGGGTCCGAGCGCCGACAAGATCGAGGTCTCCGACCAGCTCCTCCAGGACACTCTCCTCGGCACCGCCACCTACTCTATGCAGAGGCGATGAGCAAGTACCCACCCACAAACACATCAATCAATCATCACGTGCTTCCTTGTTGAAAACGATCAACAGCGACATCAAAACAAGAAAGAAACGAAAACATGGTGGACATGTCTAAAATTTGCACGACAATATTTGTTTATTTTTATCTTGTTAAAATAAGAGTTTAGAGGTGGGCCGAGAGCCAGTGCTCGGCGTCGAGGGCCGCCATGCAGCCGGTGCCGGCGGCGGTGATGGCCTGTCGGTATCGCTTGTCCTGCACGTCGCCCGCGGCAAACACGCCCTCGACGCTGGTCACCGTCGAGCCGGGCGTCGTCTTGATGTAGCCCTCCGCGTCCGTCTCCACCTGACCATTCAGGAACTGCGTGTTCGGCACGTGGCCTGTTGTTCACTTCGGTGTTAGCAACGGGCGCGGTGCGTGCGAGTGCGGCGGTGCGTGCGAGTGTGGCGGTGCGTGTGCGTACCAATGGCCCAGAAGAGGCCGCTGACGGGGAGGTCGGTGATGTCGCCGGTGGAGACGTTCTTGATCTTGAGGCCTGTGACGAGCTTCTCGCCGTAGATCTCCTCCACGGCGCTGTTCCACACCATCTCGATCTTGGGGTTCGAGAGCACGCGCTGGGCCATGATCTTCGACGCGCGCAGCTCGTCGCGCCGGTGGATCAGGTACACCTTCGACCCGAACTTGGAGAGCCACGACGCCTCCTCGCACGCGCTGTGCACGCAACATTACTATCAGCGGCCACACACACGACACGACACACGACAGTACACGACACGACACACGCACACCAAATAAGAGGGTGTTGTGTGGTACCTGTCACCACCGCCGACGACGGCGAGGGGCTTGTTGCGGAAGAGGGGCAGGGCGCCATCGCACACAGCGCAGGCCGAGACGCCCTTCTGCCAGAAGGTCTCCTCGCCGGGCACGGCCAGGCGACGCGCCGTGGCGCCGGTGGCGATGATCAGCGAGTGGGCCTGCGCCGCGGGCTCGCCCTCCTCCTCGCCCTCGACCCACAGCTTGAACGGGCGCGACGACAAGTCCTGCAACGTCCATCACGCGTGAGCGACACATGACCAGATGACACACGACACAACACGACACGACACACATGACACAACACGGCACACGGCACGTACGGCCTTGGTGATGGTCTTGGGAATGATGACGGTGCCGAAGCGCTCAGACTGCTTGCGCATGTTGTCGGTGAGATCGATGCCGCCGACGCCCTCGGGGAAGCCCGGGAAGTTCTCGACGTCGGTAGTGGTGGTCAGTTGGCCGCCCGAGGCCACGCCGCCCGCCATCCAGCCCTCGTACATCACCGGCTCCAGGTTGGCCCGCGCCGCATAGATCGCCGCCGTGTGACCCGCAGGGCCTACGAAATAATAATAACAAAAGTCAGGTTATTATTATTCAAAATAATTATAAATAAAAAAATTGTGTTTGTGGAGGGCGTACCAGAGCCGACGATGACCATTCTGTGTACTTTGCTCTCCATCTTTGTTGTGTAGTGTGCTGTGGGGAAGTGGGGGCTTCTTGCTGGTAGAAGAGGGAAGTTGATGCGTCCGGCGCGCCCAAGATGAAAGGCTGATTGCTTCGTTGTGAAGATGAGATGATTAAAAAACAAGTTGTTGCGGGTGGAGTGTAATAAATAGGCTCTCCGGGGTGGCGGGCTGCAGAGCGTGCTCAGCCGCTTCAGACGTCCGTGCGGGCCGGCTGACGTCACGAACAAACATACCGCCGCGGGGATAAAAATTCCGAGAACGGACGTTAGACGGGGCATTTCTCGAATTCCAGGATCGAAATAATTCCCAATAGGCAATGTCCGTTGCACTGCACGAGACCGCGAAAGCTTGCCTCTTCTTCACGTGCAAAACGCGGTCGCTTTGCGGGAACCAACGAGCGGCTCTGTCTCGTCTCCGCGCAGCGTGTTGGCGGAGGCGGAGAGGAACCCGTAGTACGCGGCCGTGCGTTGGCGAAGCCGCGCCCGCAGCCAGTACTCGCGCATCACGCTCCAGTCGCTGGGGAAGAAGCACCGCAGCACACTGTACCGCGCCACACGGGCCATCATCAGCTTCGGACCCGCACACCCGCACCCGCACGCACGACCACCCACGCCACACACGACGAGAAGGTGACGACGAGGAGGAACCTCTTGAAGGTGAGGTCGGGCAGCAGGCTGCACACGACGAGGGCGACGTAGGTGAGCCAGAACGAGGAGCTGGTGAACAAGGCGACTGTTTGGAGGAGTGCAAACAGAAGAGAAGAAGGAACTGTGTCAGTCTGGGCGTGGCGAGGAAAAGCAGCAACGCAGAGGGAAGAAGCAAACACGTACAGAAGGCCCAGTAGATGTGGTTGTCCCAGCCGCGCACGTGCGGGATGAGGCCGTAGATGGAGATGAAGAAGAAGTAGACGCCCAGGCTGCCCCAGAACACGAGGTGGTGGAACACCGTCCACGTACTTGTAGCAGCATTCACATGTGTAAGCCAATCCGGACAAGGGAGAAGAACGAACGACGTACTTGGTTTCGATGGCCAGCTTGAGGGTGACGATGGTGATGGCGGACGTGGAGATGGTGATGCCGAACAAGAACATGTCCATCGGATGACCGTTGGGGAGCACTAGAGGCGCGAAGAAAGGTGTGATTTGGAGGAGCAACGGGTATGTAGCGAGCCCATCAGCACGCACGCACACACGCTCGCACACGCACGCGCACACAAGTAACCAGTACCTGCGGTGGAGATGACGAGGGCGAAGAAGAATATGAGGGCCGAATGGAGCACCGCGCTGCCCAACCACCAGAAGAAGGTCTGTGTGCCGATCAACCAACCAACCAACACCGAGAGAGAGAGAGAGAAACAGGCCTGGTTAGCCCTGTCAAATAGTTGATTAGAGAGAAAAGAAAGGGCGGAGCGTGCCTTGAAGTTGAACTCCTTGTTCAGTCGGGAGCGCGAGTAGAGGCTGGGAAACTGGAGCAGCGCCTCTTGCGGGACGTCCCTGCAGGGAGAGCCAAGCGTGTCAAGGACGACAAACCAGCTCAACCAATTGATTCCTTCACCAGAAGGGTGTGTGGGGCGGGCACGGACCGATCCCAGAGGCCGACGAGGAGGACTGGCAGCGAAGTAAATACAATATTGAACAGCACGATGATCCACGAGTCGAACAGAGTCTACGCATAACAGAGCCAGGATCAGTTCCACGACACCCATAAAAACACTCGGCACAGCGCAGGCTGAGGACACGCACATGCACATGCACACGCACACGCACACGCACACGCACACGCACACGGCCTTACCTGTCCCGAGAATCCGTTGAAGAAGGAAAAGTAAAACTGAGGAAGGGTGAAGGTCGCGTTCCTGCACCACCGCACCGACAGAGGCTTAGATCCAACTCTTGCACGCTGCGCGTCGTGTGTGTGTTGTGTGTTGTGTGTGGAGGGCGTGTACTTGTAGAAGTAGTATTGGATGAGGGTGGAGATGCGGAGGTAGGAGTAGCGGCCGTGAACAAGGAGCAGCTTCTTGAGGAAGCGGAACTGGGCGATGGCGTAGTCGGATGAGCGCGAGGCCTGCGAGCCCTCCTTGCCGATGATGCCGATGCCTACGTGCGCGCTGCGGATCATGGACACATCGTTGGCACCATCGCCTATCGCCAGCGTGGTGTGGCCCTCGGCCTTGATCAAACTCACCACCGCAGCCTGCCACGTCACGTAAGAACCCACCAATCAGATGGTGCCCAACCGTATGTGATTACATTGTAACATTAAATATATCAGTTCTCACCTTCTGTTTGGCCGACACACGGCAGCAGATCACCGACTGGCACAGCTTCGACAGCTCCCGGAACTGGACCTATCGGCCATGTAACCAATGATTGTCAGAATGACAAATAAAACTAACTAGACGATCGAATAATGTGGAGTCGGACAAACCTTGTGGTCTTCGAGGGCGAAGCCGAGACTCAGTCCGTCGATGATCAGTGCACACTTCTTGGTCTGGAGCAATGACAAAGAAGAGAAGTTCAAGCTTCAAAGGTGAGCTCAGCTAAAACAGCGCATGTCGAAGGAGGTGGTGAAGACGATGAAGTGCATGTGTGGCTGGTGACGGGAGGAGGTGTGTACGGGTCCGGCTGCTCGAAGGCGGGCGAGGGAGGAGTCGAGGGTGTGCTGGCAGGCCTGGGTGGTCGAGGTGTTGACGCACAGCAGCTCCATGGTCTCGTCCAGCACATGCGCCGAGTAGCCGATGTTGATCGCCGTCTCCTGCTTGTCGCCCGTGAGCACCCACACCTTGATCCCGGCCTGAATGCAGATCGCCATAGTGTCGACATCGTCAGTCGTGCTCTATATCAAAACATATGAGATGTGGGTGATGTCGACGTAATACGTACGTGTGCGAGGTCGCGGAGGGTCTCGGGGACGCCGTGCTGGAGCTTGTCCTCGATGGCGGTGGCCCCGAGCAGGAGCAGGTCGCGTTCGATCAGCTCGGCCGCACGCGCGACCGTGTCCTTCCGGTGGTGCACGGCGATGGCCGCCTTCTGGTAGACGTAGAGCCATCGGTCGAACTGGGCCTGGTCCATCGTTGCCATCGACACCAGCAGCGTCCGCAATCCTACGTGGTGCCACGTCACATGCAATCTGTGAGCACACATGTACATGTGTACATGTGAAGATGAAGACGAGGAGGAATGCATGGTACGCACCCTTCCGCGCGTAGTGGTTGATATGCTGCTCGGTCTGGGCGATGTAGTCGTATTCGGCGGCGCTGAGCTTGTCCTGAAGCTTGCCGACGGCGTCGGGCGTGTAGTACTTGAGGCGCGGCAACACCACCGTCTCGGCGCCCTTGCAGTAGATCCGGATCTCGTTCGACGGGGTGCGCACGATCACCGACATCCTGATCCGTGTCGTGTGTCGCGTGTGTCGCGTGTGTAGGCGCGTGTGCGGAGATGAGCGAACGAACGCCTTTTCGTACGAAAAAGAGTGGACGCGCCGCTAGGGAGGTGATTCAATGGTCAAGGGGGTGGTGGCGGCACCTCTTGCGGTCGCTGTCGAACGGCAGCTCGGCCAGCACCTGAAAGGCGTGGTCTTGGCCGCGCATGCGCACGGTCAACCGATCACCCACGCGCTACGAAAAGCAAAGAGAAAGTGATGGAGAGGTGTGGGCGTGACGTCAAGAATGCTCACAACAGCCCTAGGGCTGAGGGCAGGAATGTGAGTGGAATGATATGGAATGCATGGCGTGCGTACGCTAGTCAGGGTGACTCCATACTGAGCGGCGGCCAGGACGAGGGCCTCGTCGTCGGGCGAGGACGCCTGGTAGGTGAGTAGGCCGCCACCAGCGTCCTGCGGGGCTGACTCCACGAAGGCCGAGTGGCACAGGGCCAACGCCAGCAGGAACTCCTCCACCTCGGCTTGGCCCAAGTCGTCCTCGAGCCGTGCTTCGTCCTACGCGCCGTGGTGTGTCGTGTGTGTCGTGTGTCGTGTGTCGTGTAGTAGAGCGTGTTCGTTCAGAGGGCCACAAGCAAGCGAGGACGGCGATTGGCCCAATGAATTGGGCGGGGATGAGATACCAACGAGAGTGGAGTGGTTGGAGGTGTGAGGCCGGGTACCTCTTCCAGGGGGAACGCGTCGTCTTCGTGCGCGTTGAGCGTCTCCCGGCTCTCTTCTTCTCCTCCTCCTTCTTCTTCTTTGCCACGGCTGCCGTCCGCCTGCCAAGCCTTGCCTTCCTCCTGCTTCTTCTTGGCGACGTGTTGCGACGACGGTCCCGAGGCGTCATACATGGTGCCCCGAATCGAACACTTCTTGAGTACGAGCTTGTTCTCCGTCAGCGTGCCCGTCTTGTCGCTGAAGACGTAGTCCACCTACGCTCCACACCCCAGCGACGAATAGAATGAATCAACAACGGTTAGCGGCGATCGCCGTTGGTTCAGGACATCGCATACCTGACCGAGGTCTTCGAGGAGAGAGGTGGTCTTGACGATGACCGGCTGGTCGGTCTCCGCGTCGTACAGGTCCAGGTCGTTGGCCAAAAAGTACGACTGCAGCGTGGTCATCGTTACGAAGAGATAAAGAGATAAAGAGACAAAGAGACAAAGAGACAAATAAATAATAAAAAAAGGGTGAGCACCTGCAGGAGCTTGATGAACTCGATCGTGACGTAGAGCGAGATCGGCACGAAGGTGTTGAAGAGCACAAAGAGCGTCAGGAAATTCTTGGCGCCCATCTTGAAGTCGTCGCTGATGTCGTTGGGCATCATCAGGTACGGAATACGAGACCCAACATCCGCCTGTCAAAACGAGAGCAAAGCCAGCTCCTTAAGCAGAGCTGCGCAGAGGACACCCAGCGCACACGACACACACGACACACGACACACGACACACACACGACACACACGACACACACGACACACTGCTGGTGCTGATACGACACACACATCAAGGCGGTCTCGGTATGTACCCGCCAGTAGACGCTGAGCACGGCAGTGATCAGGCAGAGCGTGAGGATGAATGCAACGAGGGCGATGAGCAGCTTGTTGGTGGTCCGCTCGACGTAGGAGAACTTGAGCGGGACGGGCTGCTGGTTGAGCACCAGCTTGGTGTCGCGACCCGTGTAGACCACTACGCCGATGATGAACGGCGTGTTCACCAGCCGCGCTCCCTACAATAAAATTGAATATGCTCAATATTGCATTTTAAAAAAATCATTTGTTGAGCATAAATATATAAGACGTTAAAATGTTTTCAAAATAGGTTGTGGGCGGGAGTACCCGGGGGAGCAGCTGGGTCTCGTTGAGCGGGAATGGGAGATCGTCGTCGAGCGGCCGACCGAGCAGGCTCTTCCGTCTTACCCTGTTTACCGCGAGTGTCAGTCAACAGTCGGCCGAGAAGGCGTGTGGGCCGTTGGCAACGGTCATGGTACTTGGAGGTGAGGGTGTATTGGCGGGTGCGAGCGCTGCTGGCCTTGAGCGTGAATTTGCCGTTGAAGGAATCCAGGTGAATATTGGGCGCGTCGCATTCCACGACCGCCTCGATGTTGGCCAGCTCGGCTTCGGTCATGGTAGACGTGAACGCCAGCGCGCGCTTGATCTTCTTTGTCGTCTCCCTGCATTCAATACAACGCGCGATACGCAACACACACAACACACACAGGTGCGAGTGTGAGGGCAAAGCACACCAGGAAGCATGTGCGGCTGGTCCAGCTCGTCTGACTAGGCGGTGTACCCATCGAGGTCCGATGTTTCGATGAAGCACTGGTGGTCGGCCGCAGCCGACTTGATAAAGACGATGTCCGCGGGAAACTCTTCGCCGTCGTGAATCCTGATCAAGTCACCCACCACGATGTCCTGTAGAGGAAAATTTATAATATAAAATAATAATTATATTATAAATAGATTAATAATAGCAGAGGTTACGGTCAGTTTCCCTCCTTGTTATTTATTTATTGGGGAACGATGGGGGAAGCTTACCTTGTACGCCACGTTGCGCCAGGTGAGGCTGCCCCGCACAAAATCGCGCTCGCTGACCACCGCCGTTCGGTTGTTGACTTCGTTGTCGGCCTTCCGTCGATTCTGAGAGAAAGACCCAACCCACGTTGCGCATTCGCGTGTGTTGGTAATGAATTGGCAACGTGCAACACTCAAGAGTGGAAGCTGATCAGGCAGTACCCAGTCGTCCCAGGCGTCTTTGATGGCCGTGACACAGAGCACGAAGAGCAGCGGCAAAATGCTGGTGAGCGGCGTGATGGGCGCCACTCCGGGAATCACTGATTCGCCACGCCACCCAATCATGCACGTTAGGAACGCCTTCGCCAACCACATCACGAGGGACGACTGACTCGAGTGAGCCTCGCACTAAAAAGAAAATAGGCAGGAGAGCCCCGTACACTGGATGATCATGACCAGCAGGAAGTAGCTGTTCGCCACGCGCCGGAACTGGGGAGTTGCAGGGGAGGAATGGGGCACGCGTGAGCACTCAGTGGGAACCAATCAAGCCAGCCGGCCTGATGACAGAGTGGTCGTGTGCGCGTGCGCGTGCGCGTGCGCGTGCGTGTGAGTGTGCGTGTGCGTGTGCGTGTGCGTGTACCTGCTCGTAGAGGTTCTTGAAGGGAAAATTCCACCAGGTGTACTTGGTGGTGCTGGTCATGTTGGTCGCGAAGCCGGCGGCGGCGTTGGCGGCCCGATCGTTCACGTGCACGCACCGCGCTCCCTCGCCGCTGTCTCCCTCCTCACCTTCGTCATCGTCACCGTATTTGTAGAGCTCCTCCTCCTCCTCCTCCTCTCTGCCCACCACTTCGTCTCCGTCGCCTCCGCTGTCCTCCTCTTGCATGGTCAGGAGGCGGTGTGCGTCCTCCTCGCCTGTGATGCTGATGTCCCTTTCTATCTCCTTCCATTTGCCTCCCCTCACAAAGTCGGATGATGGTGGTTCCATTTTTGTTGTGTTTGCCAAGATCTCTCTACCGATTGATCTGTGATCAATCGCAACGTGCAAATTGTTTCGAAGTTGAAATCAAAGACACTCGGACAGGTCACTGGTGCTGCAGCTTGCGTCGCATTTGTTGAGCGTTGATGAAGAGGAAGCCGCTCTTTCTCTGTACGTCGGGAATTTCAAAGGCGCATTGTGTTCTCTATTTCTTTTTAAAACAACAAAAGAAATGATAAAAATATAATCATTCGAGCCAAAAAGAATGAACAGGAAGGATAAGAAGAAGGGGGCGGGCAGTTCGCACCTGGCCTCCAGTGGCAGTGCCCAGCCGACCAGAAAAGCTTCCGCATCTTCGTTCTCCCCATCTCTCACATCTGCCGCCACGTCCATCTCCACATCGGCGTCTGCCGTGCCCACGCTCGCCACCAAGCTCGCCCGCGCCAAGGGCGGCCAGGCCGCCACCGACCGATCGCGCACCGGCCTCGCCCAGCACTCCTCCTCGCTGCTGCCAGCCGCATCATCTTCCGCTACACCCACGTCACCGCGGGCCAGTGCTGACGGCGACGACGATGTGGGCCACCTGGAGGCGCTCTACGGGTTCATGCAACCGCGCCGGGGCGTGACACTGCTGGCGACCCTCTGCTTCCTGGTCCTCGTGCGCTACCTGGTCTCGCTGCACCCGCACTCTGGCGAGGGCAAGCCGCCCATGTACGGCGACTACGAAGCGCAGCGGCACTGGATGGAGGTACATCAACTGGCTATCATTGCATGTGCGACGGTGTGTGTGTGTCGTGTGTGTGTGTGCGTGCGTGCGTGCGTGCGTGCGTGCGTGCGCGATCGTCAAAGACATTCATGGTTGGTGGTCCTAGGTGACGATCAACCTGCCCGTCACGGACTGGTATCGGAACACCACGCATAACGACCTCCTCTACTGGGGCCTCGACTACCCTCCCCTTACGGCCTACCACTCCTGGCTCATGGGACACATGTGCGGAAATACCCTTCTCATCATCTACTTCTCTAGCGTGTGCGGTGCGCACTCATCGTGTCGTGTCGTGTCGTGTCGTGTCGTGTGTCGTGTCGTGTAGCGGCAAATGGCTCGAGCCAGAGTCGATGGCGCTTTTTACGTCGCGCGGCTACGAATCGGTGACGAGCAAGCTCTTCATGCGAGGAACGGTCATCGCTGCCGATCTCGCCGTCTTCCTTCCGGCCGTCTACGCCTTCGTGAACACCTACTACGCCTCCCTCTCCTGGAGCAAGCGGGTACCTCCTGGCAATACACTCTTTATTTCAGTGTTGTGTTGTATGTTGAACATAAAGATATAACTATGTATATGCGCATGTGTGGTTTGCGTGCAGATGAGCGCATTCTTCCTCATAAGCCTGCAGCCTGCCCTCCTGCTTATCGATCACGGCCACTTCCAGTACGCACAGGCCATGCGTTTGCTACAATTGGAATGGTTGCTTATTCAGTCCGTGTGGTGTACACTTTTTCTCGCTCGGCAGGTACAACGGCACCAGCCTCGGGCTCGTGCTTTGGGCCGTCGTTTTCATTCTTCGGGGCCGAGACATCGTGCGTTGACCCTTCTTTATTCTTCACACTTTATGCAGTTTGACGCCGTAGCGTACAGCGAATACCCACATGCTCTCTCTCTCTCTCTCTCTCTATAAACCATGTATGTACATATGTAGCTGGGCACGGTGTTCTTTTGTCTGGCGCTCAACTACAAGCAGATGAGCCTCTACTACGCGCCCGCCTTCTTCAGCTACCTCCTGGCCAAGTGCTATCGCACCAAGTCGTACGTTGGCCCTAGATCCGCTCACGATGACACTCGACACACGCCACGCACTCACAAACCCGTTGTTCCGCTTTCTTGCAGGCCGCTCGCCGAGGTGAGCAAGCTGGCGATCGCTGTGGTCGGCACCTTCGCACTATGCTGGGCCCCATTCCTCCTCAATGCCACCGACGCCTACCACGGTACTTACAAGAAGAATGACTTTTCCCCTTCTTTTTTCTTCATTTCTCTTTAGTAGCGTGCCTCATCGCGCGTGTTGTGGCCACCCAGTGCTCGAGCGGCTGTTTCCCGTCGGTCGGGGCCTGTACGAGGACAAGGTGGCCAATTTCTGGTGCACCGTTTCTCCAGTCTTCAAACTGCGCCAGCTCTTCGCGACCGCCGACGTGCTCAAGATCTGGTGCGCATAAGTCGTGTGACGAGGGGCGTGTGTCGTGTCATGTGTCGTGTGGCTGGCATGTTGTTTTACTTACTGATTTCGTAATCAGCGCCGGGACGACACTCGTGGCGTTCCTTGGCAGCGGGCTGCACCTGATGCGAGGCCCCACGCCGCGCAACTTCCTCCTGTCGCTCTTCATCACGTCCCTCTCCTTCTTTCTCTTCTCCTACCACGTGCACGAAAAGTACTCCTGCCCGCCTTCCCTCGAGCCTTGGCTGGGCCATTAAGTGTGTGTGTGGTGTGGTGTGGTGGTGTGTGTGGTGTCAGGTCCATTTTGATTCCACTGCTTCCCCTCACGTGCCTGCTCCTCGAGTCTCCCCACCTCGTCTCCTGGTTCAACATCATCGCCGCCTTTAGGTACGCTTCACTTTACTCCCTCCTCGCGCCTTCTCTTTCCTTTCTTTTCTTTTGGTTGCAATGCAATGCAATGAAAAGATTGGAAGAATGTAATGTTTGATAACGCGCCTGTGCTGTGCAGCATGTACCCGCTCCTGGCCAAGGACGGGCTGGTGGTGGCCTACGTCGCGGTCCTCTACTTTGCGTGGCTGCCCCTTGCCATTCAGCTGCCCCCGCGCCCTACCAGCCTCGCCTCCTCCCTCTTCACGGTACCTTCCCCCACTGACACGACACGACACGACCAACGACACGGCACACGGCATGACCAACGACACGACACACGGCACGTCTGATCTGCTCAACTGGCCAGGCGTCGATGGCGGGCCTGGCGACCATTCACGTCGTGCGCGCGATCGTGGCGGCGCCGGAGAGGTACCCGGATGCGTTCGATCTGCTGATAGCCGCGTTCGGCTGCGCGCACTTCCTGGCCGCCCTCGGGCTGGCCTACCGGGCGCAGTGCTTTGCCGAACCCGTTCTCGCCGCGACCGCCGGGTCCACCACGGTGTCCGCCGGTCACAAGTCGCGCACCAGTGACGACGCCAAGAAGCGGAAGTGAGGAAGTGCTCCTGGCTCCCTTGGCTGATCGAGCAGCCCACCGCCGTGCTATCTTTTACAAAAGCAAAAAGGCAATATTCAGAGAATAGCTAACCCATTTTTATTAGTCTGGCCAAAGCAGGAGGATGGAGCAGTTGCCAAGTGAGTTGTGGGACCATGTCCTCTCCTACCTCTCCTTGCCCCCTGTACTACTACCACTACCACTACTGCCATCACAAGTCCTCCTACCACAGCGCACCTTTTTACGATATCTCTGCTTGTTGGGGGGGGGGGTAACCAGGACGTGGTGAACGCGTTGCTGGTGTGCCAGGACTTCCGTGCCTTGATCCAATCCAACCCTCTCCTCGTTGAGGCACCGCCCCCTACTTGTCAATAAATAACAAAAAACAAGCAACAAATAAAAAATAGAACGAAATAAATAATGGTTAACTATTTTTGTGCAGGTGCTGGCGCTGCCGCGGTTCGATGAGATCGACAGCAGGCAGGTGGTCCTTGGCGAGGACGGGCGGCGCGCGCGCTGCATTTACACCACCGACAGATTCCCGTCGTACCAATTCAACACGGCCTTTGTGCGCACTCGGCCAACCACACCGGGCCGCCCGCCACTGGCCGTGGTCCACTTCCTCGTCGACTTTGTGCCCAGTAACGTTCACTCCCTTGGCCACTGCTCACAAACCCAACCAACCCCATATGATCTCACACACGCACACGCACACGCACCCGCACGCGCCACACCACACGCCACCGCCACACGACACGCGTGACAGGTACGTACTTCTGCGTGTCGGTGGCGACACCCTTGCCGAAGCCGCAACCGGCCGGCGAGATTCCGGCGCCGCCTCCGCCGCCGCCGGGGCTCATTAATCACTTCATGTGGTCCCTCATGCACGCGCCCGGGTCCAGGAAGCACTACTTCATCTCGAGCCACTACAGCGACGGCGACATCCACTCCTACGGCAACCACGCACCCTACCTGTACAACCCCACCTGCCCATTTAGCTCGACCATTGGCCGTGCGTGAACAAGTGTCGTCGTGTGTCGTCGTGTGTCATGCTGTGTGTCGTGTTGTGTGTTGTCCTCGAGTAGGCCGGAGGATCAGGTGATGGCGCGGTTCGGGAAGGGCGACGTGATCAGCGTGCAGACGGGGCTGCGCGACATGAGGACCGCCTCCTCGCTTTCCCCCGGCTGGGACAAGTAACTTCCCTCGCGCCTCCTCCCCATCCCCACTTGGTCGCGTTTTGTTGATAAGCTCTCGATTCGTCGTGCGTGTGTCGTGCGTGCGCGTGCGCTTGTGCGTGCCGTGTCGTTGGTCGTGTTGTGCGTCGTGCGTCGTGCGTGCGTGCAGAGTGGTGGACGTCAGCGCCGTGAGTCCAAATCCTGCACCGGGAGAAGAGAGAAAGAGGCACGAGGTGCATCCGTACGTGATCTTCTTCAAGAACTTCCAAATGGTCCACCGCCCGCTGGTATGGACTGCTGCAGCCCCCCACCACACTCGCGCGTGGCTGGCCGCCGTTGTTGATGCTGGATTGCGGGGGGGGGGGCGTGGTGCACGCGCAGGTGTTCCCGCACCTGGCTGAGTCGGAGTGGCCGCTGCGCGTAGGCACCTTCTTCACTCAGGTTGAGCAGACCGTGTGCATCGTGGCGCCGCCCGAGGGCCAGCGCTTCCGCCCCCTCCCGCCTGATGCATTCCTGCCAGCACCTGCTGCCCCTCCCGCCCTCTAGCAGCGGTGGGGGGGCTGCAGCTGATGACCCAAACATCTTCATTTGTACCAAACAAAGAGTGGATGTTTCTCAGGCGCAGCATGAAGTTGTCCTGCAGCGCGCCTGCGCATGGGAAACAATGGGTCAGCCCAACCAAACCATGACACAACATCACAGCACAGTACAACATTGTTGACCACACCTGGTCAGAATGCAGGCAGTTGAATGTGTGCCTCCTGTGCAGAGACACATCCCAAAAGGAGAGTGTGCATTGGCCACAAATAGGTAAATTCTCTGGAGAAACAGTCATGAGCTTGAAGTGAAAGCTGGGGAATCATTTTTCTGAAAATGTACAGAAGTGGAGGATGGTATTGAAGAAGAAATGACAAAGGCAGAATCCCTTTTTATGTACAGATTTACCGCGTCGGATTGCAATTTCGCCGAAATATGTGTATTTTTAAGGTCTTTTCTTGCATTTTCTACACATTTACCGTTCACATTTCTCAGATTATGTGCACTGAACTGTCCAAAGTGTACTTATGACACCAATCTGTTTCTGGAGGGTGTGCAGATGCTGGTGTTACAGCCCTGACAATCTGTATGTGCTGCCAGATTGTTAGTGAAAAAGAGTCACTGACCCTTTTTTGTGAATGCCTGGTATCAGTTTTACATTTTGTCTTTTACAGCAGCCCCCATCATGTTTATAGTTTTTTTATGAATTGAAGATGGAAAGGTGAAAGCTGTCTAGCCTCATTACCACAACTACCCTGTACTACTACTACCTGGTCAGAAAGACACATGGAAACATGGTGCCTTTATTTTCCTTTCAACCAGCAAAAAAAAGTTTTGGGCGCCGCCCGGAATCGAACCGGGGCCTCTCGCACCCTAAGCGAGAATTTTACCACTTAACTACGGCGCCTAGTAGCTAGTTATCAACAAACCACCTCTCCATTCCGTGTCAAGGCATGCGAAGGTGCACCTTCAACAAGTTGGCCAAGTTCTGCCTGGCCAAGCAGCACACAAACTATGTCCATATAATCTCGCGAAATTACAAAGACGTGATCAAAGTGCAAGACATTGTGGCCGAGTGGTTAAGGTGCCTCGCTGCTAACGAGGTGGGGTTTCCCCGCGCAGGTTCGAATCCTGCCAATGTCGATCGGTCTGCAGGTTCGCCGCGACAACCACCACAACAGCACAAAATGAGCGCACGCGTGACACCACACACACACACACACACACACAACACACACACGACACACACGACACACACTTGCAAAAGAAAGGGACCGGTGCCAACAACAAAACAGTCACCTCTGCCACACGACGCTCCCCGCAACAAAAAAAGCAAAACCGAGCCCGTTGAGGGGGTGGCGCGTGAAAAGCCTTCTGCCACCACCCAGCAGCAGGCAAAGAAGGGTGCCCGGGTGGTGCGGCTGCAAAGGAAGGGCGGGCAGGTGGTGCAGAGCTGCGATGTGTACATAGGGCGTCGGTGGACCATGGGCGGGTGGAACCTCCCGCAGAGCAAGTGGGCCAACCCCTTCACCGCGCGCAAGGCGGGTTCGGCGGCGGAGGCGGTGCGGCTCTATGAAGAGGATCACCTCAGCAAGCGGCCGGACCTGCTGGCTGAACTTGGTGAGCTGCGTGGTAAGACGCTGGGCTGCTGGTGCAAGAAGAAGCCCAGCGACCCTTGCCACGGCGATGTGCTCGTGCGTCTCGTCAACGCCACGCCCGAGTAATCAGCCACAAGCTCTTTTTTTATTTTATATCTGATGCATCACCTTTTGCAACTGGGGCAGAGAGAAATTCATTTCTTTTAATTAACTGTTGTTTGGTGTACCAAAGTCTCTTGGACTGCATTCAAAAGAAGATGGAAGAAGTGGAGACGTTCGAGCCTTGCTCTGATGAGCATGTAAAGGAGATCCTTGCCCTTGATGCCTCAGCGCACAGCGACTGGTCAGCCATTTCGGCTGTAACCGACGAGGAGGGCAACACCATCGAAGTCTTCAGGCAAAGGGTACTGTTAATTCCATACGGCTTCAACACTGGTTGATTGTTTCGAGTCACCAATAATCAATCACCCATCGCTAAGCTCGCATTCTAATTTTATTATTATTATAATTTATGTGGCTTGTTTCAATCATCCGAGATGGACACCGGCCTGGACAAGCTGAAGGCCCTCGTGACGACCGTGCACATCACGGCTGACGTCGTACACGAAGTGCTTTACAACATCGAGACGCGAGTGAATTGGGATCACGGCGGCAAGGACATGCAGGTCGTGGAGAAGATCGACGACGAGCTCGACGTCATCTACTTCTGGGCCAAGGCCCCGCCCACGTTCACCAACCGCGAGTTCCTGCAGAGCCGACTCACCAGGACGCTCGACGACGGCACCCGGGTCATCATCTACCGCTCGGTCAAGCACGACAAGTTCCCTGAGAAGCCCAAGAAGTTCGTGCGCGCCTACACCAAGCTCTCCGGCTACGTCATCAAGCCCAACCCGAGCGGCGAGGGCTGCCGCGTCACCTTCCTCAGCCAGAACGACATCAAGGCCTCCATTCCCTCGGTACGTACGCTCCACTTCAGCTCTCTTCTCTCTCTTCTTGTCCAGCACACCTGCCGGGGCTGAGTGTGTAAGTGGGCGCGGTGCTGACGTGCACGTACCTAC